TTATCACATTAAATCATCTTGAATTAGGCGTCCTCCCTGGTAAGACAATTATTAACATTTGCAAAGAAAGCGTGTAAAGACTCAGGCAAAAAAGTGACCAGCGAAGGTCATAGCATTGAAATGTTTTAAAGTATACTAGAAGGTAATCTCCAATATATCACTAAGGATTGGCTTAATTGAAAGCATCACAGCACTATTTTGGGGGGGGGGGGGTATACTGTTTGTTATATATTATTTGTTATGTTTGTGTCGAATATTATGTAATTTCATCATACCTATGTCTTTCTTTCTAAATGCTATGGAGATACAAAACGTACACTGAACTTTCAATACAAAACACTTTTTCTTTCACTGTTACAAATAACTGATTGATTCACACTTTGTGTTTACAAACAATTATATAGCTGTGGCTATTATAATGGCTGTTGATTTTTTACTAAACATATGCATATTTGGTTCAGATTTTTTTATTAATGCTACACCAGTATAGTAGCACTGATCTGATTGTAGTTTTCCTTACACTTTGCAGAGATGCTCTCCTCTGATGACAACTCACCTTCACCAGGGCATGCAAGTTACACGTAGTGGTCATGGATCCAAACATGGCTCTGTCTTCTATTATCTAACAAACTCTTATGGGATCTATTTTTCATTAAATGTATTTCATGACTAGCTCAGAGCTCATGTGTAGATCTCCTAGATCAGCCACTAAATGAGCCGTTGCCTGACATTAGCTATTATTTTTTGTTTTCAATGAAAGTACTAAAGCCTCTAGTCAGTCAAGGTACTGTATATGGATGCTTAGATTTTTTTCTTAGGTTCTGCTGGAGGTTTCTCCCAATTAAACAGGTGTTCTCCTCTAGACTATCACTTAATCCCTTTATGCATGAGCAGATTTAAGCGGCACTGCAAAGTTATAGTCATCTCAAATTTGCGCTATATAAAAACAAAATGTATTAAATAATTCACCAAAACAGTATTTTATATACACTTAATCAAAATATGAAAGTTTGATCATCTCCCCTAACCTTTTGACCACATATTTATAAGGGAATATATCATTCCTGGCATTAGTTCAAAGCTTTATTGCCACACAGTGTTGGAACTAGTTTTAGCATATCAATAAATACAGGTGTCTTATACGGATGGGAAATGGAGAAATATGGATTTATAAAAGTGAACAGGTAAGACTGTACCTGCTACGGAAACCTTCCAATCTAAATTTTAAAGGGCTTCGTTGATAAACCAAGCAATAAACATATTTGACAAAATTGTTGATTTAATCAACAAGAAATAAAAAAAATAAATACAATTGTCCTTTTCTTTTATGTCTTTATTCTGGTAAACAATTAGCAAACTGTGACAGATTCATTTTACAATATTATAAATAGCTAAAGGTAGTTGTGTTTTTGTCTTGCTTACAAAACATCCACCAAATAAACTGGTATTAAGACAAGCCTACAAGCAATTTGACCCACACTCTGGTTTGCTTCACTGGACCTGAACACCATTTCATTTGTTGAGTTAGCAGGCCAAATCAAGCCGTCTTTATAAAAGTCTTTTTGATGGATTCACCCCTTGCCTCCCCCTGCTATGATCTATCACCTGTCCAAGCCTTGGAGGTCGTGATAAACTTGTTTAGCATAGGGGTCAGTGCATGCAAGTGCAGGTACTGTGCAGTTATGGGTGGGGCAGCTTTTAGACATATGCAGTTTGTTAAATGGCTTAGGTCTGTTGTCAAAGAAGGCCCATACACAACTATAAAAATATCAAGGTGTTTCCTCTGGATATACTTATGATGATATTTGCACGTCTCCCATATATATTGCATCTTTAGTTATTTATGCAGATCTTTCGCAAATCTCTAACAATATTCTTTTAATTGGAATATTTAATTCAAAGAAGTTGGTTGTGTTCTGTTATGTACCTCTGACAATGACAGCAATACAAACTGTGTCAAATCAACAAGATTTTACAGGCAACACTTTAACCTACACATTTTGTCATATCTCTGCAGTTATATTAAATCTGCAGCTGCAGAAATGAATCACACAGAGAATATTAGACACTTAGTGGCTCTCGCTCGTTGTCTTGTCTGCTGCAAATTAAGCTCAGCTCAGGACTTATCCCATATTGTAGGTATGGCCATTCCACATTCTCATGAGTCATTCTCCACTTAGCAGCGGCTGAGCTCCCTGGTGTATGCTGGCAGATGCAGGTTACGGAGTGCTGAGGTGCAACCCATCCGCTTTCTAATGGGCACCACAGGGATCAGAGTTATTGGATGATTCATCAGATCAGTGCTGCAAAGCAGCGTTTTCACTTGGGCCGAATAGCGTGTGTGGCTGTTTGAAGTTGACGTAGTTAATGCGAAGACAAACACCTACTGTAGCACTGTGGGTGGCAGCAAGCATTCCATATGATTTCTTTTTTTAAGTTGTTGCTATTTTACAGTTTAAAAAAAATCAAAATCAAATTCACATTTTTTCCCCCCATGCTTTTACAAATCTTTCCCTCTCTAAGGAAATCTGACCAGCGAAAGGATATGATGTACTTTTATGACAACAAATAAAGTTTTATGAGAGGTTTGTGTGTGTTTGTTGAAGGAATTAGGATATTTTATAGAGAAAAACCCTTTGAGGGATAGACTAAAGGGCAAAGGCAGTTATAGTTGTTGTCCTTTATAGGTTTGTTATGTGCAATGATAAACCATTGAAGTGCAATCCGAATTATATTTAGACTGAGTTGCTGAATGACATAGGCTACAAAAACGCCCTCATTAAACTATTTTTTTTTCTAAAAAGTACTACAGTACAAACCTTTAGACCAATCATCAACGTAAGGTCTTATTTTTTAAACCAATCAATACCCTCATCAAGACAGACTAAAAGTACCTTTAAGAGGTGAGCTGTTGTATCTAAACCAAAAGAATAATGTATTGTTAGTCTGTGGTAATGCTGGGATAATAACATTCACATCCCTAGGAATGTTTTATACATACATTTTATTGAAACAAGAAGATAATGACATCATGTTAACTTCACTTTAGGTCCATAAAAAGTGAATTGGTGGATGGATTTTTTTCTATTTACGATAATATACCTAGAAAAATGTTAAAATGTTCTATTACTTTTTGCTAAAGCACAGTTGACATGTCAAATGACCCATTGTTACATGGCATAAGCATTGTGATAATTATTCAAAAATGTCTTCCCATTCTACTCAAGTTTTATTCAGTCTCTAAATCTGACAAAACACTTACAAAATACACTATATGGCAACTTATATTTCATTTTTGCGGTCTTTAAGAAATATTGGCACATTATTTTCAACATCTGACAATGATTAAAAGGATTACTAAAGCTAACCACAATGCAATACTGTACAATATAAACAAAGATATTTTGTTCACATCACTGTACATTATACAATTCAGTCTTAGAAGACACTGATGATGTGTGCAGTATTTTCTGGATAAGAGTATTTTATTTTTATTTTTTTTGTTTTCCATAAATTGAGCTAGCACTTTAGTTATGCATTTAGTCAAAAGACGGTACAGCAGGGCTATTCAACTAGCAGCTCAAATCTGTCCAGCCAGCAAATGGGTGCAGTAAGAAAAAAAAAAAGAAAGAAAAAATCTCTCTCTCTCTCTGATTTTATATATATATATTGTATATATGTGTGTGGGTATGTATGTATAGAAAGCTCTTAAGCACTAGTCCACCCATGTATGATTCAGTCTGTTTCTTTACTGCTCTCTATTGGCCAGTTAGGAGTTAGATCAATATCAATATTTTAGTCTACAAGCATGGGTGGCCTAAAGTTCTCTAGACTGTAAAATAGTCTTGAAGAGATATTTGATTTTATCATATCAGCTTTCCATTTCTGTATTACCTATGTCTGTGTGGTTTGCACTCTACACTCTATTACTGCAAGTCACAACTACTAATTGTTAAGCAAATGGCCTGATACCTTTTTCTGATATTATCTGTGTGAAAAGAAATGACTAAAACTGGCGTTTTTTGGGCTGGAATGACATGAGCTTCATGTTTATGTTTGCTTTTAATGACAACCTGCATGTGAGGTTTACACAAATATATGCATAGTTTTTTTTTATTTGATTTACAGTTTTACACACAAGATTAAACTTTTTTCAACACTTGAATTAGAAGTTGTTACCCATTGGTCTATCACAGTAAAGCTTGCCTGTATAAGGACAGGGTAGTAGCAAACTGATGAAGTGCATTATTTTGGCATGATATTACAATCAAAGGTATAGTGGCCAGTCTTTGTTTGGTGTTAAATTCAAGAGGGGTCCACTTTACTGTTGCTTGTCCCACATCCTAAACTTCTTACTTGGCTCAGGTTAAATACTTTTGTCATTAAAATGAGTTAGACAACGACTGCATTTCTCCAGTAGCTTCATAATGAGATCCAAGAAACATTTGGTAATTTAGACCATCAGAGTAATACCTAAATTGGAGGCATACACCATTTTTAATCTTTAAAAAAAATTAAATATGAATTTATTTTAAGGAAAAAAAAATCTGATATGGGAATTCTTCAAATTTGTACCTCTTTTTATTTGATTTATGATGTAATGCTTTAAAATAAACACATCTAAAGGGAACATTCTAATACTACCTATTTTTGTACATTTTTACTTATGAAAGAACTAATTAATTGATATCCAGCCTGTGAGCCTTAAGCTTTCAGTAACTGTGCACCCCTAAGTCATTTAGTTGAACAGCCCTGCTGTGCAGTCTATAAACTGCTATATCCATCTCTACAGTCGTTGTGTTTAAAAAAATTTTTTTTAATTATTTATTTAAACTATAAGTAGTAACCTGAAAAACATATTTCAATTTCTAAATCTGACTTATTTCTCAGAAAACTTTATGAGAAAGATGTTTATCCTTGGACATTTCTTACCATGGTTCCTTCAAAACAAAAAACAAAATCAAAACAAAAAACATTTACATACCTATACTATACTATAAAAAAGAAAAACATTTTTATAAAAGCATGATACACTGCAAGCAATGCATTGCATCTTTTTGCATCTTTAAGGCAGCATTTTGCTTTTTTCTGGACTCTATACCATGTTATTTTCTTTCTTAAATCCAACCACCACTGTACATCACAGAATATACTTTGTCTCTGTCTCTACAGTTTTGTCATGTTGACATTGTTGTTCCCCTGTTTTATTTATCAGTAACATTTGTACTTACAAAATTACATTATGCAAAACATTTAAGCCCTTACTGCATGTATATTCAAATGTCTGGACCACTTCCAATACCTTGAAATGTATCAAACTTAACAATGCTTGTTACAGCTCATTAGATCTGTCTTCTTTATCTATGTGGTTATTAACAAACTTTACTCAATGCTTTACTTTTTTTTTTTGTCTAACTTAGAATCTCACTTGGAATGCTCCTTGATACTAAATGTTACACCACAATTTCTAATATTATCGTTGGTTTATTGTTTTCATGCAAGACCCACCCAAGTGTTTTAGTCACACTGCCATGCCTTATATGTAAATATGTCCCATCTCTGGATTCTCTTAAGATTTTGTGTTTTAAATGTATATATATATTTTAAATCAAATAAGTTTTATTTCATTTAGTACCTAAATCTGTTCCAAATTTTTTAGATAAAAAAATAATAATAGCGGTAAAATGTGACATGTGCAAAATGACATAGTTACAACATGTTGACATATGGAGAACCCTTTCAGAAATACTCCTACATGTCCTCTTTCAGCCAGTGGACAAACAGAATGGGACTTGAAGTTGGAGGTCTTCTGCTGCCATCACATATGTTCATGGCCATTATTTATCATATTTATTTGTAACATTAGGTTCAAAAGGATCCATCCAACAGAAGTTATTTCATTTAAAGTTAGCCGGACGAACCATCATGGTTGTCATGGTTGCCATCAAATTTGGACCCTTCCAGTAGTACCACTTAATGCCGTTGAAGCGGACTACATTGGAGGAAACGGGGTAATATATACCATTCAGGTTGGAAGGGCCACAAGCGTCAAACCACCATCCTGCAGAGGGAGAATTGCAGTCAGTTCAAGGAGAAAGTCACAATCAGTCAAATTCAAGCTCATAAAATCTAATACCTAAAGGTACAGCTTTAAGGTAGCAGTAACTTTATACTGGAGCAGAGGGAAAATAAAAAGCTCCACAGGACATTTACAAGAGAAGGAATAAAAATGTCCCACAAGATGGGTTGTAAAGAGAGACAGATTGAGTCAGGGCAGATGAGTGGCAGCATTTGATCGACAGTTCGTACCTCCTGAGGCGAGCTGTGCGCACTTGCAAGTGCAGCGGTCATTGTCTCTGTCCTTGGTGCTGAACTGACTCCCGTTATGGGTGAAGCTACTGGTTTTGCCAGCAGTGCCACTGAATCCTGCGACGTGAAGGCTAGATTGTTTTTTTTTTGGCAGAAGAGAATAATAAATAGACTTTTGTCAAATGAGATAACAAAATCCATGACAGAAGCTAATGTCTGGAAAATGTTATAAACTGAATATTCATGGAATACACTGAATCTCAGGTATCAAGGTTGAAATCTAAACACACTTAAATCATTGCTAATTTTAGAAAAAAAAAAGATGATTACACACCAAGTACAATTCAACTAAAAAAAAAAAAAAAATTACAAAAAAAGGTACAACAATCTGTCTGCATAAGTATACAGACAATTTAACTTAGAGTAAGAAAGTGATTTGATCTGAATGCTCATATTTTCTAGGTGAAAGTAAGTTAGCTTCTCAATCTGGCAACATCACCAACCCTGCCTTTCAAATGTAAACAGATCTTTACCAGTTCTCTTCAAATGAACCTAGTTTTGGCCTTTTGTCTTAGTTCAGCTCATTCTTGTAATTAAGTTATTTACATGTTAACAATTTGAAAACCAAACCTGAAATTTGAAAACTCCACAAAACATCTAAAAGGCTAAATCTAACATGGATTTTCAATTCTTACATTCAACTCAAAAAAAGTTTAAGAAAAAAAAGTGATCCTGATCAGGACGTGGTTCAGCAGCCTTTTTCCGCCTGGTTATTAGCTTTGTTTTTTGTTTTTTTTGTTTTTTGATAATGGTTACTATCATTGTAAAGTTAAACTTACCCTTTGAAATTAGTACCAGAATAATTTAACTTGGTTTTATAAAATCATAATATGCCCTTGCATAGGATATTAGAAGATTTTAGAAAGACAATTTGTTTAAAACAAAGGGGTTCAATTTTCTTCCTAGGTTCAATCATAGGTGCAGTCACATCTACTGTTTATCTTAAAGAAAAAAGGAAATGTAATGTTATGTAGAACAAGAGAAGTCCATACATTCCTACAGATCTTAAAGTGCTGGTTTAGGCAATCACAGTTGTGTATTGTCTGAGTTATATGAATATGTCAATGCATAAATAAATTCTCTGAAAACTGTATTTCTCTTAATGCTTTTTTAAAGTTCACACTGTGAAGTGGTTAAAATTAGAAAAAGTTTTACTGATAAGTTGTGTTTTACACACAAGAAATTTGTTTTGGTGATATGGTGATTTACATAGCTATCAAACATACAGCTGTTATACATAAATTCAGGAATATATAACTTAAACAATGCCAGCTGAATTGGAAGGGCACCACTACATACATCACAAAGTATGTATATATACAGATGCTGACATTTTCATTTCATATTTTTGTTTTTGATTTTCTTCTTTAGCAGAAACGTTTCAGTGAAGAACCCAGGGCTTTTAATGAGGCAACTAGCAGATAGTACCAGTAAAAAAACTGTTTTTGTTATAGGATGTTTTGTTGCTAAGAAACAGCAGTGTCCTGCCACTAGGGAGAGTCAGCAACATTTTGGGTCCATTTTAGGAGTGATCAGCTGCAATCTTAACTGCTCGTCTTTGGGTCCGGAAGGTGTACATTTGCTGAAAAATAGGAAGGTTTTAGCCACTGACACTTCCTATTGAGCAATGATGTGCTGCAAATTGTCCCTGGTGGTAGCAGCAGTGCACCACGTCATGATGGAGGAGGAAAGAATTAATTATGGCAAAGTAGGAGTGCCATATCGTTTGATGAGTTCCAATTCAGTGGCTTCATCCTGCGAAGGCCAGATTTGTTGGCCAATTATGTGATAGCGCGTAACTCATTATTATGCAGCTTACAAATGAATCATTCTTTTTGCCTATCATGAAGGATGGGTCCAGTGTATCGTACATAGCATTGGGTGTCCTGTGATTCATGGCGAGTCCAAGCAAGCTGGCTGCTCCATGCTCATAGGAAAATGATAAATACCACCAAACAGTGATGAAAATTGTAAGTGCAGTTTCTTCTAATACAAGTATGTCAATAGTTCCATCTAAAATTTATGAAAATAGCTGTTATAAATGGTTATTGAGTGAGATAAGTGGTGGGTAATGTTTGGTTTAATAAAAGGTTTTATCTGTCAATGTGCGAATGGGTCTGGCTGACATTTAAGCTCAGATTCTAATATCTGTGCAGAGTGGGGGCTATACATTTGATATTCTCAATGATGGTATTGCTGCTGAAGCTCTCAAAAATGTTATTAGCACCTAAAAGAGTAGTAAAAAGTTTGGAATCCATCCCTGCTGTGTTTGTCAACTCTCACAGTTGCTAGGCAACAGAGCATACAGACAGTGAAAGACAGAGAAGGCTGGACCTGTTTGAATCCAAAGCCAGAACTCTTCCGGCATCTTTATTTTCACAGACCTCCAAGGACCCAGGAAGGTGGACCACATCCTTGGAGGATGTAGCCTCTAAAATTAAATGTCTTTGGTGGGCTAAACGTCTTTAGTTGCTGCATCGAGTACATTCTATGCTGTACCTTCTGGTTAAGTGAGGTGATGCTAGCTCTAACTTGAGGTCCTGACTGATAATGGTGCTGAGGAAGTGGAAGGAGTCTATATTGGGTACTTGAGAGTTGCAAAGGATGATGGGGTTGGGTAAGGCTGTGCTCTTTTTAAAGTCTGGTATATGAGTCTTCTTTCCACTGTTTTGGCATCTGTTCTGGCATGATGGTCAGATTCTCCTGCTCCCTGCCCAATGAGCGAGATGTAATCCGCTGACCTCTGGATCTTAACAGACTGGTGGCTGGATATGTAACTGTTTGTGTCGAGGGAAGGGAGCAGGTGGGGAAAGAACACAATCTGGAGGGCAATTACTGATGGTCCTGTTTTTTTTTTTTTTTTTATAAAAACTGTTCCCCTGCTTCACATGATGTTTCCAAACTGCCACAAAGTGTCTGATTCACCTGAAGGTAGAGTCAGGCATATTTATCTGGGAGTGTTGTCCAGCAACAGAACTAGGATGACGATATTGAGTCCATCACCAGGCCCCTGGCATAGATTCCTGGGGGTAAAGTTGCTACAGAGTGCTCATGACTTTGTAGCCAAACTGCAGCAGATCAATAAGTGAGTCTAAAATATATTTGTAGAGCAGGTTTTAGAGCAGGATGGCACATGACATGTGTCTAGAAGGTGTGAAACATCTCCTTCAACACCGGACCACAGAGAGCTGATCTGCTCTCTGTGGTCTAAGTAGATGTCAAAGTCAAAGCATCAGAATATGTGGGTAGACATCTCCATTCCAGCAGCTATGCATGGTTTTTGCCTCAAAATACTTTACTGCCCTGCATTTTGGAAAAGGAAAAAGGAGGTTGTGATGGAGTGGGTGGAGGTCGCCAATTCTGATGGTACAATCACACCAAAGGTAATAATATGACGGAACAAGTGATTTATATGTTATCACTATATAGTAGTGAAGAACACATTGATAATGTGGCGTAGGGTTAAGAGTGCAACAGAGAAAATGTCAACATAAGGTGAAGTAAGGAATGCTTTTAGAGTTTTTTAGGTGGATTTAAAAAGCCATTTTAATTTAACCCTTAGATGATCAGGCAGCAACAAATTAATTGTGCAGAAAATTTGCTAGAATCAAGTTTGGTGTGGACGCACCGTGATATGAGGGAAAAGAAAATATATAGTTTATGTTCCCTGTTCTAAAATTTTAATAGTAATGCCAAGCTTCATCTCTGGCAGACCAGATTCTCTATAATAGATGTTAGGTGTTTCCTCAGTCAGAATAAATCCTGAAATTATTAAAAATTCCTCCAACAAAGCTTAATCTTAAAGATGAGTGACAGTGTTTTTGCAGTTGTTTATCTAGTTATTTATTTTTTTATGTCTTCTAAAATTTTGGCTAAATTGAGCATGATAATAAGTCTCACAGTAAAGGTGGAAACAGTTTTACTATGTCTATGCTCATAATATTTTTCTTCATTACCAAAACAGGTGTTTATGTAGAGAGAAAACAGAAGATTAAACAGGGTGTTATCCATTGCTTAAGCTTTTTTTCATTCTAACATTTAGAATCAAATTAAAGAGGTGCAGTTTTAGATAAAGCTCTTCTTTGCTTTGCAGCATGAAATATTCAAATTAAACACACTTCTACAAACACAAGAGTATTAAAAAAATACAATTACAAAAACACTTGGTTATATATTCATGAAAGCAACTGCGGGATTTAAAAGCTTTTTTTGCAAAAAAGTTGGAAGCCCCTCTGAATGTTCATATTGTTGCTGAACATCAGTGTGGAAACTATCCAAAAGGAATCTCATTATTGCCTTACATGCTGTGCTTTGTGAAGCAACCCAGTTTTTAAAAAAAAGTGTTACTGTCCATGTTAAAGCCATCTTTAAAAGGTAGTCTGAATGAGTGTACATGTGCGCTTCTCCGAGTCTATTTTTCCAACCAAATGCGAGTCGGAGCTGCTTTGAAGAGAGTGGGTGAGGAGGTCGGTCCAGCTACACAGCCTCTTCTCTTCCCCTGTAATTCTGTTCCAGTTAGAGCCAAGGTCTCCTTCTGAGTTTTCCGACACTTCTGTGTCCCCCCTTTGTTGCCCAGAGGCACTCTCTCTGTGATTACTAAATGAAGAACCTCCCTCTTGAATTTGTAGGTTCAAAGGGCAGGACAACATGTTTTGAAGGGATGCAAGGTAAAGCCTGGACTTGACAGCAATGGGAATTGACAGCAGTGGGGAGCGGAAAAATTATGCAATAGTAAGAGATGTTAGAGTTTCATTAGAGGCCCCAAAAGAAAGCCTTTTTTTGTTGTAATGAGTCAGTGATTTTGGGCACTTTAGTGAGAAGCTACAGGACATCCAATCTGAAAATAATCTTGTGGAAAACTATTTGCCCCTTTAGAAATGTCCTGCTTTCCAGATTAAACTAATTATGACATGACATGAAGATAATCTGCCACAATATAAAAATACAAAGAATGATTTTATTTAAGAGAGAAATGCTATTCAAATAATAAGTTATTGGTTTAAGTACTGTCTCTAAGACCTATTAACCTTTTGTTTCAACTTTAATGACAAAAGAAGCCATTAAAGTTGGTGATATGTGGCAATGAGACTTTTACATCTCGGTAGATGTATTTTGGCCTCCTCTCTCCCCATTTGACTCCTTACCATCTCAGTTAGATTTAAGCCTAGTCAGAGGCTATTTTTGCCAGTAGTCAGGTTGTTGTTGAATCATGAACACTGAGTATAACTGATGCAATCGAGACGAGTAGTTGTGGATTATTTTGTGACCTCCTGGATTATTTATGTTTATGCCCTTCGAGTAATTTTGGTAGGCAGGCTAGTTCTGGGAAGCCTCACCACAGTAGGGATGGCTCTTGGGGATAACATGTTGCCGAAAACAAATCTTTTAGCATAGCCTTTGTTTTCAAATGCTCATATTTTAGTAATTTGTTACTACTACACATTTGTAAGTAATCATTATCTGGCCAGAGAAATTCAACTCGGCCTTTTAAAGATTAGTTATTTTAAAGGCAATTAATGAATAACCAATAAGTGGTTGGTAGCTTTTCTTCCTTGATAAATATAACCATAATTTTAAAACAGCTTATGTATCAGTTTGAATAGCTTAAAAATGAAAGTGAGAAACATATACAGAATACATCTCCAAATCCTCTTTCCCACTAAAAATAGTGGGTCAACCATTTTTTTAACCATTTTTTTTTTCTCAGAAAGACTGAGTATCAACTCAGTCTTTCTTTCTGCTGTTTAGGGTACTTTTCTACTCAAGTAAAAGGGTAAAAGTACAATTTTTAAAACTAATTAAAGTTTAGAAGTAATCCTTCTCACCAGTGGTGTGCCATGTTTATCGAATGCAAACAGAGTTGTTTCGGCTTGTTAGATCAGACATGATTGGCTCGGTGTGTTGACATCCATACGTTGCGCTCAAAGGTATCACATAAATTAAAGGGTCAACCTGGATTTGGTGTGCCCACAGCATGTCAATCAGAGCTGAGGTGATTTTAACACATGTCGCTTGCCGAGTCGTTTAAGTTTCAGTAGACACAAGTCAGTGAGCTGTTCCCACTGCTACTAAAAGCTGTTTGTTCCCGGGCTTAAATGGGTTTTGGGGTTGATGGAGTTCTGGCCTCGTGGGTAGAGCAGTGCGCTTGTGCTCTGAAAAGGTTGCAAGTATCTGGTTCGATCCCCACAGCCTGCACGTTGGGTCCCTGAGCAAGACCCTTAACCCCACGCTGCTTTAAAATAATGTTAATCACATACTTCACTAAAAGGATAATTTATTTGGAACCTCAAAGGAAGAGGTTTTCTGCTAAACCAATAATTTATGTATGAATCTTGTTAACTTAATTTTAGCTGTAAAGCTCCATTCTGCTCCAGGGAGTGCATTGAATCCAGCTGAGATTGGGGATTTGTCCAGACGACTTCCTGTTGAGCACCGGGAAATATGGCTTGGGAGTAATTTTATAAACCCACTGGGTCAATCCAGAAGTTTCAGCATGCATATAAAACTGGTACAGGTTAAACAAAATGTGATCTCAGATGTAGTGAGCGAAGAGGGGTGATTGGAAAGATTTAGGAGCTTTGTCCCACACAGAGTAGCTTGAAGCAAACTGGTAAAACACAATTTTATTGCATTAATTACATGGAAAAAACTCAGGGCAAAGGAATTTGATCCACTTTTGATGTCTTTGAAGGCCTTGACCTACATATGAGTTTGATTTATCATCACTCAGATCCTCAGCCTTTATAAGCACTTACTAAACCAGAGCAAGCCCCAGACTTTATATTAAATTTACCGTAAAATTCCCTTTCTTCAAAAGAATAGCACATCCAAACAAAATCCTGTTAGCAATTGTCTGGTTACTGAGAGGGGGCTTTGTTTAACTTGTCACTTCCTGGCAGTGGCAGCTATAGCTGAGTTTCAGCTAAACCAATGGGAAACATGGCTCCCTGTGGGGATTTACAGCAGCAGCTGGAGCTGCTGGGACATGGGAAGGAAGATGAAGGCCAAGAAGTCATGACATAACCTTGACTTATCTGTTCATTTTAAGTATTTTTGTTAAACTTGTGGGTGTGAAGAAAGATTTTTGCAATTTTTCGATGCAAGTTATCAGCGTATTGTCTTTTCTGTAACTGTAGTCCTGGATATCTGCTGTCCTGCAATGTTTATATGTATCTCTGCTTTCACACACCTGAGTGAAAATAATTACATCACTGACATAACTTGACTGCAAACTGATGATTATGTGTGTTTCCTTTGCAAAACGTCTGACAGAAAAAAATCTAGAAATTATAGTTTTCATTGTATTAAGTCCTATTTACTCTGGTATACCTATATGTTACCTACAGTAGTCAAGTACCTTAAACCTGATTGGTTAATCAGCATTACTCTATCACTGGAAAATAAGAAATGCTAAAAGCCGAAAAGCTACTGTGCAATTCTTAGTCTTAGATTGGATAAATATTAAGAGGAATACTTGGTGTGCAATCTTTAAGGCGTCCTTTATAAAGTACAATGGCAAGGAGAAAGCCTTAACTGAAAGTGTGCATGTTGCCAGACACAAAAAAACACAAAATATCTCAAAGAAAACCTCCTAATAAGGTGAAAGAACAATATTACTTATTGTCACACTTGTAAAATGCAGAGTTACAGGCAACTAGCATCTAGCATTGACACAATGAGCATATGACCCATGCAGTTTATATATATATAGATATCTATATATATATATATATATATATATATATTCATTCTATAAAGGGTAAATACATAGAAAATATAAA